TCCAACGCTAGAAGCAACTGTGCAGGCCCATTACTTCGAACCGTTCTCGTTTTTGTGTAGCTTAAGCTTCTGACTAATATTTTTCTTTCACTTTTTTATGTCTAGTTTTGGACTTTTCCAAATTTGCGATTTGTTTTCAAATTCTTGAATGTTTTAATTTTTTGCATATTTTTTTCAAATTTATGAACTTCCTTCAAATTCGTGAATTGTTTCCAAATTTTATGAACTTTTTAAGATCCATGAAGCTTTTCTCAAATTTATTAACTTTTCCAAATTCACAAAGTGTTTCCAAATCTATGAACATTTTCAATTTTTTTGAACCTCTTTAAATTTTAGGATTTTCTTTCCAATTCATGAACTTTCTTCAAATTGATCATTTTTTTTTGTCAAATTTGTAAAAATATTGTTTTTCCCCCATATTTACGTTTTTCCCACATTCTAGATTATCACAGAAGTAAACTGTCAACTAGTTGACCGGTTAATCAAGCGAATTAAGGCCCGGAAGCAAGTGAACTGCTTGCCTACCCTTTTTTTTATAAGGAACAACACACTTTATTCAAACTTTAAGGTTCAGACGAATACAAATGTTGGCAGGAGGATTACACAACCAAACATGCCGGCCAACCTTTAGCAAGGTCGGCATTCTAGCTAATTTGCGAGCCTCCGCATTACATGTCCGTCGCTCATGGCATATTTCACATGCCGAAAACTTTAACTTGTTGTCGTTGATCTCACGAAGAATCATGCAATAATCTCCTCTTTTGTTTTCCATGTGCAGATCATTTACCATCTCCAAGCAATCTGAAGCAACTCTAATCCTGGCATGACACAGGTCTTCTCCAAGAGCATAAGCTTCTCTACAAGCATATGCTTCAATCCTCACCGGACTCATTACCCCTTCAAATACAACAGCAGAAGCGCTCAGAAATTTTGCATCTTCACCTCGGCAAAGCACCCCGGCAGCTCCCATGTTTGCCGATTTGCTTGCTTACTCGGGAGTGTCTTTAGTCTCGTTAGGACCTCTCGCTTAGTGGTCCGGTCCAGTACCTTCCTTTCTTCGTTTCGGCGCATTTGCTTCCTCTTTGGTTTGTTTGCGGTTCGTTGGTTCTTTATTTTTTTCTCTTTTTTTCTTTATTTATATTTCAAAATGTTCTACCTTTCAAATAAACAATTTACTTACATTTTAAAAAAAAGTTCATCGCGGAATTAAAAAATACCATGCAGTGTCAAAACTTTGTTCGTGCAATTTTTTAAGTATATTTGTGATTTTGAAAAAATGGTCACGTGTTTCAAAAAATATGTTCATGAAATTTAATAAAAAAAGGTTTATACATTGTAAAAATGTCTCGTACCATTTGAAAAATCTTTGTGATGTTAAAAAATGTTCATGTGTTTCAAAAGTTTGTTTGAGAGTATTGGAAAAAGATTTATAGAATAATAAAAAATATTTGAGAAAGTTTCAAAAATATTTCGTACCATTCAAAAATTGTTCTAAACATTTAAAAAATATTCTAACATTGAACAAATGCTTTGCTAAAAAACAATTCATTTCATTTATGAGAAATGTTTAACATATACTCCCTCCATTCCCCAAAATGTATTGATTTAGTACAAAGTGGCACTTATTTTGGGACGGAGAGAGTATTATAAAAAAGATTTAGTACAAAGTGACACTTATTTTGGGACGGAGAGAGTATTATAAAAAAATGTTCGTAGTGTACTCGAAAATGTTCAAGGTGTATTGGAAAAAAATTCACATGTATTAAGAAAGTTGATTTAAAAATAATAATAATTTCAATGTGTATTAAAAATGTTTAACATTTATTAAAAATACGTTAAAATGTACTACCTCTGTATCAAAATAAAAGTACTATTCACCCAAAGCCGCCACTATTCACATCCAAATTTGTCTTTTCTGAATCTCCAAATTTACATCGAGTTTTGAGCTGATTTTTTCGGAGTTGTAGACATACCCCACATGGATGTTTTCAAATAATTTCAGATATTTCGAAATGTCTAAATATGAATTTTTGGGGTTGATCTCATAATCTCACCTAATGTGAGATCTCATACAAGTCTCCCCCTTGTTTATGATGTCTACGAACAACTGCAAAACGGGTTTGAAGCATCCAAATGCCCTCTCCACATCCTTTCTAGCTCCTTCTAATTTTTGGCAAAGTGAAGCTTTTTTCTAACCAACTGACCCAGAGATGGTCTGGAGGAAGGTCGCCCACAAAGAATAGATACTATCAACTAGAAGTAGCCCATGTTGTAGTTATCCCCTTGACTGTATAGTTGCACGGAGGAGATTGTCCTACAGTCAACCTAGCAAACAATGGAGACCGCCGCAACATATTGATGTCACTGTGAGATCCAGGCATGCCAAAGAAAGCATGTCAAATCTAGAGGTCTTGTGATGCAACTGCTTCAAGAATGATGATGTGCTTCTTAACATGGCCTTGATATTGCCCTTGTAGATCTTTTGGGCAGTTCTTCCATCTCGAGTGCGTGCAATTAAGATATCCAAGCATACCTCAACACCCTCTTGCTTCGGACTTTGCCGGCCTTTTGGTGTCTAAGACTATTGGTTCTCTCAAATCCTGATATTGGTGTCACGAGCTCTATGGGATACCATGCCTATGGTTTGGAGACTACCAAATGTTGATTTCATGTTGAATAGTGGAAAGGAGTGGCTTCTACATGCGCTATGGCCTCTTCCAGATTTGGAGCGTTCAATGCTTCTCATGACATTATGGTTTGCATGGTACATCCGTAATGAAGTGGTTCATCATAAACTACCACCGCCCATGGAAGCATCTATTCGTTTTCTGGTTAGCTACTTCGACTCCATCGTTGGCATCAAGACTGATATCTCTACAGATCATAGCAAGGGTAAATCTTTTATCACTTATGGTGTGAAAGATGGCAGGGCATGTGATATTAAACGGTGAACCCAAATGGAGTGCTCCACATGTCGGTTGGGTAAAATTATGCACATATGGGTTGCGTGCGGACGATGGTTCAGCTGGTGCAGGCATGGCCTTAAGAGATGAGAAGGGTGCTATCATTTTTTCATCATGCATGCATCTTTTCTCTTGCCGTGATTCTCTCGAAGCTGAACTTTGTGCATGCATGGAGGGTTTGTCGTTGGTTATCCAAAGAAGCGATCTTCCGGTCATGATCGAGATGGATTCCTTGACTGCAATAAAGTTGATCCAGTCAAAGGAGATTGCTAGATCAATCTACGGATCGCTTATTAAGGAGATTAGATACCTCATGTCTTTTCGTGAAACTTGTATTACTCATATCAATCATAGTCTAAATAAGGTTAGTGATAGCTTAGCTTAGTTTGCTCATTTAGAAGGTAGAACCATGACTTGGATTTGTTCAGGGCCTTTGGTTGCTACAGAACTTGCTGTGATTGATTGTATGAACCTATTGAGTTGAGGAATACATTATTTCACCCGTAAAAAAAAGTCCTGAGGTCCAAACCCTTGACCACCACAGTAACAAACCTCAATATGACGTCTCAGCATGTGCTCTCACACATCCAGAGGTACTCGTCCCACGAATATTTGGTCGTGCCATAGGCAAGCATCCGCAATGTAGCCGTGCACTTCTGGTAACCAGAGAATCCAATTCTTCCTACTACATCCTTTTTCAAGATGAAGTAGTCATCTTAGGCCCGGACGCCATTGTAGAAGTAATCAAAAACAATTTTTCATATCTGAAAGCATCCGTGAAAATTGTCCGCAAATAGGGCATCAGGGGCGAATCAACCATCATCGTCAAATGCCCCTATACCCTGTTTCGATTCAGCAACCGATGACTCTTGATCGATGCCTTGAAATTGAGAACATGCTCTTTTGCACGCTCCACGTCTACAAGGTCTGTCTGCATCATCGTCATTTCATCTGCATAATCCTCATTGTCAGACGACTCATCACAGTGCTCATAGATGTACTCCATGTACAAATCCATTGCTTAAAAGAAGGGAGAAAATTGCCACAAATTTAGCACGAGCATTTCACCAAACACTTGTCGGGTGTGGTGACCCCACGGACGACATCCACATGCGAGGAAGTTACTTGTTTGGCGGACGGACTAGAGGTGTGGAACGATAACGTAGGCAAATCAGCGTGGCGATCGGCTGGAGCGGCGGAGGTCCAATGAGGCCTTGCCGGGTGTTAACGGTGGTAGCTGCGTTAGGAAGAAAGCGAACACGGAGAAAAAGCGAAGGGATGAAGATGCAATGTTCATGTGTGCTTTGGGTGGGCCTGGGGTGTCGGTGTCCTACATAGTGATGGTCCAGACTCCTGCAAAGCCGCTCAATTTACTTCCAGTTTGCGGTACCGATGCACGATAATGTTCGATAGCAAAGTGTGTGGTGCACATCCGAACAACTCGGTCTGAACGTTTGCAAACGATTTGAGGATTCATTTTGGAGGATGCCCTAACCAGGTGAACGAAATATTAAGGATGGCCAAATGAGTGTATGACATAAAAAAGGCTAGGGTGATCGAAGACGTCCAAGGCTTAGCAGAGCTATTAGCAGATATATTTGGCTAAATTTTCTCTAGGAAGCGGGCCAACGCCCGGAATTGTCGGCCGACGCTGCGCCACTGGCCCTCCGAGTAGGCTACGTAACTTTTTACACAAGTGCTAGGGTGGAGTGCAAAATATACTGAACTTTTTTCACATCTCAGCCATTTTTTTCCTGTTCATTTCTCAGCCACTTGGGAGAATCAAAAGTCTCGGCTCGGCTAAAAGGCTAACGAGCCAAAACACCGCTCTCAACATAATCCACGTACACATGCGTGTAGCACAATAGTAGCAAAGATGCAGCTTCTACCTGACACTACGCAGAAAAGAAATGTACAAACTAAAACTACGACGCGCAATCAGGAAGACCGGAGATCCGCGCGACCATTATTTGCATATATATATATATATACGCGTCGAGTCGATCGGTCGATCCTCCCGATCCACAGCTCGACCGATCAATGGTCGAGATCGTACGGCAGGAGGTCCTCGAGATACGGGTAACCATCGAGATCAAAGAGCTGTTCAAAGGCACCGGCACCACCGTACTGCAGGGTGGACGTGACGTCGCCCTGGTCAGGCCAAGCCGCCGCCGCCGCCGCTGCGCCGTACAGGGCAGAGCTCACGGGGGTGCGGCTGCTCAGCACCTCCTCCAGGTCGCCGCCCTCAAGCTTCAGGCCCGACAGCTGCAGGCCGGACCCCGTCGCGGCGTCCTCGTCGACCAGGTTGGTGTTCGTTGTGGTCGTGCTGGTGCTGGCGCCATGAACAACGGCCGGCGCGAAGCTGATGAGGCGGCAGCCGGCCGCGGTGCCGGTCAGGTGAGGAGCATGCGGCGCCATGGCGGCGGCGGGGTCCCGGCAGGTGTGCACGCCGATGTAGGTGACCTTGAACGTGTCCGGGTCGTCGTCGCAGCGCTGGGCCTGCCGCCGCGCCATGCACTGCTGGTCGTACTTGTGCGTGCACCGGAAGTAGGCCCTGTGGACACAGTGGGAAACACATCCATGGCGCTTGTCAGTTCACAGAGACCCATCGGGGGATTAATTACAGGCAGCGTTGGTTGTCGCAGAGCACTATTGGCGCCACACTTGTGTTTTTTTAGCCGTTTGGTGAGAATGATTGGAGGGCAGAAACGTACTTTGAGTGCTTGGAGTTCTGTATCTCCTTCTGCCCGTACTTGCGCCATGTCTGCCCGTCCTCCAAGCTCCTCATGTTCTTCGTGACGACGGACGAATCCTGGGTCCTGCAACGCCCAAGAAAGAAGAGATTTTACAAACATATTCCAGTTCATCACGATATACTAACAAAGTATCCAGTTTATATTAACTAATAACAGATCAAGAATCATGAGCTCGAGCCGCCTCACCTTGTCCGACTGGCCTTGCGCGGTCCTCCACCGGCGATGGACTTCCTCTTCCCGCCGCTGCTTGCGCCATCGGTGACCTCGCTCTCGCCGGCACTGGCGCTGGCCGCGGCCGCGGCCTTGGCGGCGTGGATGGCGCGGGAGAAGGTGTGGAGGATCTGGTCCATGATGTGGCCGGCCTTGGGGGAGTCCCGGAGGAGGCCCTGCAGCTGCGTCGCGAACTCCTGCCCCTTGGCCAGGTCATCCATCACCTGCTCGTACGTCGCCATGGACATCGATCGAAGCACGAGCACGTGAACTCGAACACTCTCCTGCTCTACCTAGCTCGCGCGCACAGCACTACCAGAGCAGCCAGCCAGTGATGTGGAATTGTGGAGCAGCAAGGCAAGGGCAGGGAGAGCTTGAGGAAGGTAGGTGGAAGTATCGTATATATCATGGCCCGCGATTGGCCAGATGCACGCATGTGGGAGAAACTCGCTTCCTTGGTGTGGAGGTATTGTCCAAGGGGGAAGCACCCCGGAAGGAGCCGCGCCGGTGACGGGTGCGGATCGTCAGCGGATGACGAGGGCGCGGGTGATGCGGGTGGCGGGGGTGCGTGCTGCGTCATTGTTGGAAATATTTTACCGCGCTCTGAGGATCTGAAGATCACCTCTGTTCTGTATCCATCGCACCGTCGTATGAGATTCAGTCATCGACGTACCAGCGAGCTCCACGTCGCCCTGCATCAACGGCACACCTGATCCATGGTGACGTGAAGTCACAATTTTTCTATCTTAAAGATCAACGCAACAGTTATACGTAAGTAGACTGAATTTTACAATTTAGGCAAGACGATTTCACAGTAGAAGATCCTTTGAAAGATTATAAAAAGGCTGAAAGAAGAAGAATAAACATATTTTTTGTTAGAAAAGGAGGATTACCCTGGCTTCTGCATCAAAATAATGCATGCATCATTATTATTAAATCAAGTAGACATCAAGTACGTAGTTCCATACAAACTCGCAAGACAAGTTGAAATGAAATGAAATAAAAATCGCCACAACCATATTGTTGAACCGTCATTCAAACCAGTTTTAAGTATTTCATGCTACCGCCTCCCAGCTGTTGCACTCATAAGCCATATGCTCCTCGGTTTGCGCATGGCTGAATGGCAACCACATATGGATCTAGCCAGTTGCCTGATAGATGACCTGCAAAATTTTGGTGATGGTTTGTCTGTCAAAAATCACATCAGTGCAACAGTATCATATAGCCCAAATTAATGCACACACTCCAACTCGAATATGCACCGCTATTTACCTCATTTAGCCACGTTCCAAATAACGTGACAATGCTATTTAGGAGGTTAGACATTAAAGGCCACATATAATGTACGCCATAGTAACTTGGCTAGTGGGCATTTGAGAAAATGATGTTGGACATCTCATCTTGATCATAGAAAAAAATATTGTTTACTACCCTCCCAACTATATTGTGCCTAGTTGTCCTTAGTCAATATCACTTCCTTGTGAAAATAGATACCTCTATTCTTAAAGGCACCTTAAATTTATTAAATCTAAATATATAGATTTCAATGAGGAAACCCCTGACACCAAGAGTTTCCGGTGTATTTGATCTGGCTCATCAGAAAGGTTAATCTCCATCAACCTGCATACAAGATGTAGCCATCTATCACATCTCTCCCCCACCAGGGATCTCCAGAACCGAATGTTTAAGGAAATCGATCCTATTATTGTACTTACGAAAGCGTCTTTACGTTGTACAATGTTGTAAAAGGTTGGATATTGCATGGCTAGTGGTGTCTCCCCTAGCCATGTATCTTCCAAAAATCTAGTAGTATTACTGCTCCCTCCAATGAATTTGGCCCTATTGGAAAAGACCACCTTTGTCCGCATCAACCCCTTCCAGAAAGGTGAATCATTTGGCTGCACGTAACCTGTGATAGGGTCTTGGATTGCAAGTACTTGTTGTTGGGGAACGTAGCATGCAATTTCAAAAAAATTCCTACGATCACGCAAGATCTATCTAGGAGATGCATAGCAACGAGAGGGGGAGAGTGTGTCCACGTACCCTCATAGACCAAAAGCGGAAGCGTTTAGTTAACGCGGTTGATGTAGTCGAACGTCTTCACGATCCAACTGATCGAATTACCGAACGTATGGCACCTCCGTGTTCAGCACACGTTCAGCTCGATGACGTCCTTCGAACTCTTGATCCAGTAGAGGGTCGAGGGAGAGTTCCGTCGGCACGATGGCGTGGCGACGGTTTGATGATGTGATCCGCGCAGAGCTTCGCCTAAGCACTACGACGCTATGAACGAGGTGGTAAACTTGTGGAGGGGGGCACCGCACACGGCAAAGAACAATTGATGTGCCTTTGGGGTGCCCCCTGCCCACGTATATAAAGGAGGGAGGGAGGAGGCTGGCGGCCTAGGAGGGGCGCGCCAAAAGGGGGGAGTCCTACTAGGACTCCCTAGTCCTATTAGGATTCCCCTTTCCTTTCCTTTTCGGAATAGGAGAAGAGGGAAAGAGGTGGAGGAGAAGGAGGAAAGGGGGCCCGCGCCCCCACCCCTAGTCCAATTCGGTTTGGGCTAGGGGGGTGGCGCGCGTCCACCTGGCCGCCGCCTCCACTCTTCCACTAAGGCCCATGAAGGCCCATTAATCCCCCGGGGGGTTCCGGTAACCTCCTGGTACTCCGGAAAATGTCCGAACCTATCTGAAAACTTTCCGATGTCCAAACATAACCTTTCAATATATCAATCTTTACATCTCGACCATTTCGAGACTCCTCGTCATGTCCGTGATCTCATCCGGGACACCGAACAAACTTCAGTCATCAAAAACACATAGCTCTTAATATGAGTCGTCATCGAACGTTAAGTGTGCGGACCCTACGGGTTCGAGAACTATGTAGACATGATCGAGACACATTTCCGATCAATAACCAATAGAGGTACCTGGATGCTCATATTGGCTCCTACATATTCTAAGAAGATCTTTATCGGTTAAACCGCACAACAACATACGTTGTTCCCTTTGTCATCGGTATGTTACTTGTCCGAGATTCGATCGTAGGTATCATCATACCTAGTTCAATCTTGTTACTAGCAAGTCTCTTTACTTGTTCCATAATACTTCATCCTGCAACTAACTCATTAGTCACATTGCTTGCAAGGCTTATAGTGATGAGTATTACCGAGAGGGCCCAAAGATGCCTCTCCGATACACGGAGTGACAAATCATAATCTTCATCTATGCCAACTCAACAAACACCTTAAGAGACACCTGTAGAACATCTTTATAGTCACCCAATTACGTTGTGATGTTTGATAGCACACAAGGTGTTCCTACGGTATTCAGGAGTTGCATAATCTCATAGTCAGAGGAACATGTATAAGTCATGAAGAAAGCAATAACAATAAAATTGTAACGATCATAATGCTAAGCTAACGGATGGGTCTTGTCCATCACATCATTCTCCTAATAACGTGACCCCGTTCATCAAATGACAACACATGTCTATGGTTAGGAAACATAACCATCTTTGATTAACAAGCTAGTCAAGTAGCGTCATACTAGGGATACTATGTATTGTCTATGTATTCACACATGTACTAAGTTTCCGGTTAATACAATTCTAGCATGAATAATAGACATTTATCATGATATAAGGAAATATAATTGCCTCTAGGGCATATTTTCTTTAGTCTCCCACTTGCACTAGAGTCAATAATCTGGATTACAAAGTAATGATTCTAACACCCATGGAGTCTTGGTGCTGATCATGTTTTGCTTGTGAAGAGGCTTAGTCAATGGGTCTACAACATCCAGATCCGTATGTATCTAGCAAATTTCTATGTCTCCCTCCGCAACTTGATGGCGGATGGAATTGAAGCGTCTCTTGATGTGTTTGGCTCTCTTGTGAAATCTGGATTCCTTTGCCAAGGCAATTGCTCCAGTATTGTCACAAAAGATTTTCATTAGACCCGATGCACTAGGTATTACACCTAAATTGGATATGAACTCCTTCATTTGCTGCTTCCGAAGCAGCTATGTACTCCACTTCACACGTAGATCCCGCCACGATGATCTGCTTGGGACTGCACCAACTGACAGCTCCACCATTCAATATAAATACATATCCGGATTGTGACTTAGAATCATCCGGATCAGTGCCAAAGCTTGCATCGATGTAACCATTTACGATAAACTCTTTGTCACCTCCATAAACGAGAAACATATGCTTAGTCCTTTTCAGGTATTTCAGGATGTTCTTGACTGATGTCTAGTGCTCCACTCCTGGATTACTTTGGTACCTCCCTGCTATACTTATAGCAAGGCACACATCAGGTCTGGTAGACAACATTGCATACATGATAGAACCTATGGCTGAAGCATAGGGAATGCCATTCATTTTCTCTCTATCTTCTGCAGTGGTCGGGCATTGAGTCTGACTCAACTTCACACCTTGTAACACAGGCAAGAACCCATTCTTTGACTGATCCATTTTGAACTTCTTCAAAACTTTATCAAGGTATGTGCTTTGTGAAAGTCCAATTAAGCATCTTGATCTATCTCTATAGATATTGATGCCCAATATGTATGCAGCTTCACCGAGGTCTTTCATTGAAAATTCTTATCAAGTATCCTTTTATGCTATCCAGAAATTATGTACTATTTCCAATCAACAATATGTCATCCACATATAATATTAGAAATGCCACAGAGCTCCCACTCACTTTTTTGTAAGTATAGGCTTCTCCAAAAGTCTGTATAAAACCATATGCTTTGATCACACTATCAAAGCGTATATTCCAACTCTAAGAGGCTTGCACCAGTCCAAAAATGGATTGCTGGAGCTTGCACACTTTGTTAGCACCCTTTGGATCGACAAAACCTTTTGGTTGCATCATATACAACACTTCTTTAAGAAATCCATTAAGGAATGCAGTTTTGACATCCATTTGCCAAATTTCATAATCATAAATGCGGCAATTGCTAACATGATTCAGACAGACTTAAGCATCACTATGGGTGAGAAGGTCTCATCGTAGTCAACTCCTTGAACTTGTCGAAAACCTTCCACAACAAGTCGAGTTTTTAAGACAGTAACATTGCCGTCAGCGTCAGTCTTCTTCTTGAAGATCCATTTATTTTCTATGGCTTGCCGATCATCGGGCAAGTCCACCAAAGTCCACACTTTGTTCTCATACATGGATCCCATCTGAGATTTCATGGACTCAAGCCATTTCACGGAATCTAGGCTCATCATCGCT